CTCTCGATACCGCCGCGCCGCCCGCGCCCGCCCGCCGCCCGCGTCGCCGCCGCGAAGGCGTCGGGTACTCGACTAGCTCCGTCTCGCGCTCCGAGTCCGCCTGCAGCACGAAGTCGTCGTCCACCTGTCCACGGCCGCACCCCGTGAAGAGACGCCGCTCACACCTCGCCCACACCTCGCAGGGCGGCCTCCGCCTCGCCCGCGTCGTCAATGGTCTCGTCCGGGTCCATCAGCGCCGCCCACAGCTGGGCGGGGGAGGGAAGGGGAGGGAAGGGGAGGGAAGGGGAGGGAAGGGGGGTGGAAGGGGGGGGGGGTTGGGCCAGAGCGGGGTGGGGCGGGAGGAGAGGCGCGTCGCAAGAGCAGCTCAGTCCAAGCGGCGGCGGCGGCGCATCGCGGGGTTCCAGAGGGGGGGCAAGCAGCGACCGCCCTCAGAACGATACAGAGGGCTGTTTCCGCAGCGGCACAGAGCGCCGGCTAGGAAGAACAGAAATCAAGGACGGGGGGTCCTCCTCGGGCGGTCGGAGGGCGTGGGAGGGGGCGGGGAGGGAGGCGGGGACAGGGGCGGAGGGGGTCGCAGGGGAGGACGGGGAGGGAGAGGAGGGAGGTGGTAGGCGGGAGAGGCGGCAGGCGGCAAAAGAGGCGGTGGGGCACGAGGCACCTCGGGGTCGGCATTCTTCAGCTCCTCCTCGCCCGTGTCGGGGAAGGCCGCCTGGGAGAGGGGGGGGGGGGGGGGTGAAAAACGGCGGTGGTGTCTGAACCAGAGAGGGAGAGGGGGGAGAAAAAAGGGAGGGAGGAAGAGAGAGAGAGAGAGAGAGAGAGAGAGAGAGAGGGAGAGAGAGGGAAAGAGAGATAAAGAGACAGAGAGACAGAGAGAGAGAGAGAGAGAGAGCTGTCTCGAAGGGAGAGACAGACAAAGAGCGTCCCGACCTCTGCTCCGAGTGCATCCCCCACAGCGGTCGACAGCTCCGCCTCGCTGCCAAACGCCTCTCCCGCAGTCGCACGGAGGCGAACCTCGGCCGCCACCGACGCGCGCGACGCACGCGTCGTGCGCGACAGCCGCGAGAGCGTCGAGAAGCCCGCCTCCGACTTTGGCGCCTATGAGCAGGAAGAAGGCTCCTAGAAGCTTCCTGGAGACGCCTGGCCCTCGGACTCCTGTGCAAGCCTCGGGCAGCACTGGCTGGTCGGCGGGGACGAAGGTGCCCCCTCCCATCGGAGCGAGGTGGCGAAGGTAGTCGTAGTTGTCCGCCGGGTTGAGACCGTACTCGAGCAGCTCCCGCTGCTGCGCCGCCGACAGCGCCCGAGCGCCGCCTGCTGCGGCGCCGCCGTCCGCGCTGTCCTTTGAGCTGGAGGGGGCTCCCGCGTCGTGCGCGGCGATGTCAAAGCCCTCGAGGTCTTGCTCGGCGGCCCACGCGCGCGTCGACTGCGACGCACGCTCGCTCGTCGCGCGGCCCAGGTTGGCAGAGATCTCTGCGGGCGTGAGCACGTGCTGAGAAGCGGTCGCCGCGAGCGGGTCGCGCTGCGAGCGGTGGACGAGGTGGAAGTGCGCCGCGGAGGCGCGGTCCTCGATGAAGGCCTTCTTCTTGCCCATTATTCACGCTGCTGATAGGAGCACTGGGCGCGGCCTCGCGGCGACGCTGCGTGGTCACACTCTAAAAAACTTTGGGCCGGCAGTGCTCCAAGTGCTCCGCACCGCGCATGCCGCGGCTCAGCTTCAGGTGAGTTCATCTTGCCGGCGGTACCCGACGCTGCTCGAACGGCAGTTGTCGACCGCCGGCAGTTGACCGGCAAGATGAAGTCCACTGCGCTCGAAAAAAATACCACCGGAAGCGCCTCGCCGAGGCGCACAATAGAGAGAGAGAGAGAGATTTTTAGCAATACCTTTGTTTTGCACAATAGTCCCCGTCAGCGCCACGCGCGAGAGCATGTGTCCACTGTGCAACGCGGCGGCGCGATGAGTCACGGGGACGACCGACGGAAGCCGGAATTAGCCACAAAACTCGCCTCGCAGCGCAGGTTTTCACCGATTTGCTATGCGTTGGCTGAAAATAGTTGCTCAAACCGACCAAGTCAAGCGAAAATCGGCCCAACGAAAACAGCACTAGTTAAGGGCAAAAACCGATTTGCTGTGGGGGGCGTTAAAATGAACTCGGAGGCACAGGCCGGGGCACGAACCCGGGGCACAAACGCCAGGCTCGACAAACACGGGAAGGCACGTAGTGACGCAAGGGGCTCTAGCGACGGTGGCGTCCTCCGACGCCGCGGGGTCCGGCGAGCCTGAGCTCAGTCGCAATCTCATCCGCCGCCGCGAGCTGCAGCGCGACACAGCTTAAATTGCCTCTCCACCCTCCACCCTCCAGAGGGTTAGTAACTCCAAGTGCTCCAAGTGCTCCTACGCCACGGTGATGCCATGAAAAGATCGTGCGGCCGTCAACGGCGCAGCCGCCTCCCACGCGTTCATCACGGGATCGTATTGCTCCATCGAGCTGAGGGGCCCGTCGTCGCCGTTGTACCCGCCAACAGCGTACAGCTTGCCGTCGAGCGTTGCCATGCCGTGGGAGTCCCGCGCTGTCGCCATCGGCGCCACCGCCTCCCACGCATTCGTCGCCGGGTCGTACCGCTCCACCGAGCTGAGGTGATTGTGGGCGGTCGTACCCAATCCGCCTGCGACATAGAGTTTGCCGTCGAACACGGCCAGAGCGATGGATCCAACGACGTGCTGTCGCCATCGGCGCCACCGCCTCCCACGCGTTGGTGGCCGGGTCGTACCGCTCCACCGAGCTGAGGCGGTCGTAGCCGGCACCCCGCCCGCCTGCGACATAGAGCTTGCCATCGAGCACCGCCACAGCGTGTTTCTCGCGTGGTGTCGCCATTGGCGCCACCGCCTCCCACGTGTTCGCTGCCGGATCGCTCCACCTCCCCGAGGATGCCGTCGTCGTTGTTGCAGCCTCCCACCGCGTACAGCTTGCCGTCGAGCACCGCCACAGCGAGCTCTTCCCGTGCGGTCGCCAACGGCGCCGCCGCCTCCCACGCGTTCGTAGCAAAGTCGTACCGCTCCACCGCGTTGGAAATTGCGCTGTCAACCTCATTCAGGCCGCCCGCCGCGTAGAGCTTGCCGTCAAGCACCGCCGTGTCGACATACCTTCGTGCCGTCGGCATTGGCGCGACAGCCTCCTCCTCCCACGCGTTTGTGGACGGGTCGTACCGCCCTCGCTGCTGTGGCCGCCGAACACAACCAGGCGCGGCCTCTCGCGCTTCTTCAGCGTCTCCTTCCAGCCGCGGCGCCACGCGCGGCACGTCCCCTTGACGGCGTGCTCCTTCGTCGGCAGCTGGGCGAGGATGTGCGGGGCGAGGTCCGGCGAGAGGAGGACCTCGGAGAGCACCCACTCGGGCTGCTCCACGAGCCGAGCGGCGTGCTCCTCCGCCACGCGTAGCGCAGCGTCGCTCGCGCCCGCCTGCGCCTCGATGATGGCGCACAGCTGCGCTGGCTTTGCGTCGCGCCGGCATTTTTGAGGGGACGGCAGGCGTCGGAGAGGCCCGCGACGCGCGCGCCGATGCGGTGGGAGGCCATCGGCGCAGAAAGGCGCGTCACTGGAGCGGCAGCAGCCCCAGCTGAGGGAGGGTGTAGAGGGTGTAGAGTGTAGAGCGCTGTAGAGCTGTAGAGCTGGAGAGCGCTGTAGAGCTGTAGAGCTCTACATCCGCCGCGGGACGAACGATGTGCCTCCGTTGTAGAGCGATGTAGAGGCGCTCTACAACGTGAAATCTCTACAACAAACTCTGGATCATAAGCGCGAACGAGGCACGGTCGCTCTCCGACATGAGGCGCGTTGCACTTTTGCCAGTGCTGCCCTGGCCTTCTGTCTGCCCGCCCAATGGGTGGGAGGTGCCTCTGCTGCTATGGCATGCCTCACGGCTGCGACTGGCCGGCGCCTCGGCGCGTCAGCTCAGCTCGGCGTAGCGATAGCGGCCAGCGCAACTCGCCTGGACTCAACGCTCAGCCAGGAGCTCCCGCACGCGCTGGCGCGAGGCATGGCGCATGCAACGCGTCTGAATGCTCGCCTCGCCTCGCGCAAATGCGACCGTCCTCGCAGCCGACAGTCCACCGCCTGCTAAAGAAGCACAGCGACGAATGCGGCACCGGCGACACATGGCAAGCTGGTCATGACGCAGTTATAGGGTGTTGTGTGCCGTCGGAGTGACTCTCCTGTGTGTCAGGGATAGTCAGGGCCGTCCATCAGAGCTCCAGTAAGCTCGGAGACACCCCATTAGTGTGACTCGACCTCTTTGAGTCACTGCCTTCCCGGCGGTTTGGCTGTAGAGCCTCTACAACAAACTCTACAACAAAATCGCGCTCCTACATCGCTCTACAACGCAGGCGCTTCGTCCCGCGGCGGATGTCAGAGCTCTACAGCTCTACAGCACTCCAGAGCGCTCTACATCTCTACAACTCTACAGCGCTTTCAGCGCTCTACACTCTACATCCTCTACACCCTCCCTCAGAGCCCCAGTCGCTCGGGCTATATCGCCTATCGGCAAAAAAAAATCTCGGAGCCCTAGTTGTTCGTTCCTTCAGCTTCACAACGAACAACAACGGCGACTACATGTACATCATCATCGACAATATATGTGCATACATACGGCGTGTGAGTTGCGTAATTGTATTCTCTCTCGATTTTACAGCGTACACCAACTAACTCGTACACGTATACGTAAGTAACCCCCCGCCGATGCCCGATGCGCGATGGCCTCATGCGCCCCGCCCGCAGCTATGGCGATACACCTCAGGAGGTACATGAAGGAGGAAACAGCCCTGGGGGCGCCCGGCGCCCGTCTACGCCACCTCCTGGCTGTCCGTCAGGTCGAGCTCCTCCTCGCATGCCATCGCGCCCTGGCTGAGCTCCTCCGCCCGCCGGTCCATCTGCGCCTGCAGCGCCGCCACCAGCACCCGCAGCTGCTCCAGCTCCTCTGCGCTGGTGGCGGCGACCGACCGCGCCGCCTCCGCCAGCAGCGTGGTCGGAGGCAGGGGCGCGGGGGCAGACGTCTGCGTGCCGACCGACCGCGTGAGGTCGGCGGCCGCGATGCGGCTGGCGACGAGGGCGGAGGAGGTGGCGCAGGCGGCGAGGGCGGCGAGGGCGGAGGCGGCATCGGCCGCCGCACCCGTGCCTGCGCGCGCGAGGTGTTTGGGTGTAGGCGAGAGGCGGTGGGTGTGGGAGGCCGGGGCGGAACGGAGGGAGGGGGTGCAGGGGGCGCGTTTCACGGGGGCCGGACACCTCCAGCGCAGATTGACTCCTTGTTTCCGGAAGTCGCGATCTCGGGCGTAATGCGGACCTTGAGCAGCGAGCGCCCGATCCCGCACCGGTCGGAGAGCTGCGTATTCTCCGAGCCGCCGCGAATTGTGAGCGGTGCCGCCGTCGCTGCACCTCCTCCCCTCCTCCAGTCATCTCCACCACCTCCGCACGTCCTCTCCCACAAAATACTCACCCACACCGCACCGCCCTCCCTCTCCTGTTCCCGCCTCCTCGAGGACCTGACGCTGCCACCCTTCCTCCTCTGCGGCTCCGACCGCTCGACGCCAGAGAGGCTCGCCGCCCCGTCGGACGGGCCGCGGCAGACGGTGGCTGCAACTAGAAGCGGCCGCTGATCGGCACTCACACAGCCGACGCGGAGGGCCGCGTGTCCATGCAACAGCGCTGCACAGCACCACCTCGACGGCCCGCCACTCCCTCTCCTGCAGGTGGGCTGGGCGACGCCGCTCGACGAGTTCGGCTTGTGGATCGCCAACCTGCCGACGGCGTCGCAGGCGCGCCGCCACTCTCCTGAGCCTCGACGACCCACAGTGGGGCATGATCTAATCCGGCCACTACAACCAAGGACACAGCTCTCAGAAGGACTTCGGGGCTGGTGTCGTCGACGGTGGTGATGAAGATGGTGGCGGCGACGGTGGTGGTGAGGGTGGCGGGCTTGGCGGAGGAGACGATGGCGGTGCAGATGGTGGCGGCGACGAGGGCGGAGG